GTGGTCCCGGGGCTCTCTGAGAGTGGCGGAGTCGAGGGGCCGTCACACGAGCGGGTCGCCCGAGGCATCCCCCCGCACTCTTGGGGGCGCGTGAGGGAGAGTGCCCCCCTTCCCCGGCGTCTTCTCTTCGGGGTGCCACGAGGCGCCGCTTGCTCCCTCGCGGTGGGGTTCGGAAGGGAGTGTCCGAGGCGGGCATCCCACCAGCCCTCTGGGCGTCGGTGGTTTCGAGCGTTTCCTCTTCCACCCCTCGTTACCCTTCGGGGAGGGGTTTATCATTGTTCCCTATTGATAAACACCCCCTCCCCCAGGCGAGCCAACCCGAGTCCATGACGACCCCCCCACCATCCCTTGTAAAAAACGCTGCAAAACACTCTGCCTCCAAATTCGGAACATGCGCAGCCAACCCGATGCGGCCCCCCCCACCATCCTTGTCAGGCAAACAATGCGGCTGCGGCGGCTGCGGCGGCGGCTGCGGCGGCGGCGGCGGTTTGCGGCGGCGGCTGCGGCGGCTGCGGCGGCGGGGGCGGCGGCGGGGCGGCGGCGGCGGCGGCGGCGCGGCGCGAGCGGGCGGCGGCGGCGGCGGCGGCGGCGGCAGCGGTGGCGGCGGCGGCTGCGGCGGCGGCGGCGGTTTGGCAGCGGGGCAGCGGGGCGGCGGCGGCGGCGGCGGCGGCGGCGGCGGCGGCGGCGGATTGGCCCCCAGTAGCTGCCCATCCAAAGACGACTGCTGAATATGCTGAGGCTCGGGCCAGACTCGGGTGCTACGTATGTGTTGGGAGGGCGGGTGGGAGTGAGCGAGACGGCTTGCGGGCGGGGAGGGGGTCTTGACCCCTCCCCCTACCCCCTCCCCTGGACCTGGACGGGGGGGTTCCGCGAGGTCTCAAGGCGTCCCAAAACGGCCTCGGCGACGAAGCCAACATCATTGGTTGTACTAGGGTTTTGGCCCATTTTAGCGTCCTGAGGGGGGGACCTTGATGAAAGCTCCCCTCTTGTTTGATGGATCTCCTCCATGATGGCCCCAAGAAGCGCCCAGGAGGCCCCCCAAAATGGCCCCCGAGATGGCCCCAAAAGGCCCCAAGAGGCCCCCAGGAGGCCCCCAAAGGACCCCAAGCGGCCCCAAGAGGCCCCCTGAGGCACCCAAGGCCCCGAAGAGCCCGCCCAGGAGGCCCCAAGTGGTCCCAAGATGGCCCCGAGATGGCCCCAAGAGGCGCCCAAGAGGCCCCCAGGAAGCCCCCAAGAAGACCCCAAGCGGCCCCAAGAGGCCCCCCCGAGGCACCCAAGACCCCGAAGAGCCCCCCAGGATCGCGAAGAGACCCCCAAGACGTCCAAAGAGGCCACCAATAATCGCCCAAGAGATACCCCAAGAGGCTCCGAAAGGCATCCAAGAGACCTCTGGCCCTTGTGTTTGCCCTCCTCTTCCTCCTCCTCCTGTTCCTCCTTCCTCCTCCTACTCCTTTTCTTTTTCCTCCTCCTCCTCCTCCGCCTCCTCCTCATCCTATTCATCCTCCTTCTTCCCACTCCCTCATCCATCCATCCACCTCCTCCTTCTCCTCCTCACTCCTTTGCACGGTTCGGCCGTCCCCCCCTTTGCTGCCGCACTTCCCTGATCACCTCAACTCGCCTGGACATCATTTCTGGATGGGCTGGTGGGGATACGCGAAGCGTTTCGAATTTGTACATGACAACCGCCTGGAGGGTCAGTTTTCGGAGCCTCGGCTGGCGGTGGATATGGACATATTCGGGCCCGCGGGGGCCGAAATATGTCCATATCCACCGCCCGCTGGGGCACCATGACGTCGGTTCCCAGGCGGTGGATATGGATACCGAGGGACCCGCTCGAGACATCCCAACAATCTAGCAGCGCTTGGGCAAGCGTTTTCCCTCGCTGGCGGCTCCTCCCTGGTGTGCCCAAGTGCCACCCCCTCACATTGCGACAAGCATGGGCGAGTCTGAGTATGAGGAACGAATATGAGTGGGGTTGAGTCTGAGTGACAGCACGTGGGTGCATTCCGATTACGGTGAGTATGCGTTCTTCTAAGTGTGAGTGGTCTGAATGCGTGAGTCTGAGAGCGAGTTTGCCTGAGTGTGCGTGGATCTGAATGTGCGTGATGGAAGTATGAACGACTCAGTGTGGGTGAGTCTGACTATGACCCGGCCGAGTATGAATGGCCGGAGTAAGAGTAAACTGAGTTTCGTATGATTGTGCGGGGGAGGGAGATGAGAGGGAGGACGGTGGAGGCATTCTATTCATTACAACAAAACATCTCAGGATACGGGGAATGACGGAAGAACGGTCCCCGATGCTTTCTTCTTTCCCAACCCTCCTTGGTTGTGTATTCGTTTTGAATAGAGCACTGCGGTCTCCAGTCCTCCTCCTCTTCCTCTTCCTCCCGTCTCCCGCGTCCGTCTTGTCTCTTCTTGCCATGCGCGTGCCTCGTGTGTGTGTGTGTGTGTGTGTGTGCATCCTGGCTGCGGTACTTTTTCGTGTGTGCATCTTACCAAAGGGCTGCGATCTGTGACACTTTCGCCACTTTCGAGGACTGCTGGTGGGTCCTCGTGTCTTGTGCGTATCTCGTGTGTGTGTGTGTGTGTGCATCCTAGTTGCGGTACCTCTTGTGTGTGCATTTTGCCAAGGGGCTGCGATCTGCGACGCTGTCGCCACTTTCGAGGGCTGCCGGTGGGTCCTGCGGAGTGATGCACCGCGGGGATCTGAGCGAGACCTCGCCGTCCCTGGGGGGGCTGCGATCTGCGACGCAGTCGCCACTTTGAGGGCTGCTGGTGGGTCCTGCGGAGTGAGGCACCGTGGGGATCGAAGCGAGACCTCGCCGTCCCTGGGGGGCTGCGATCTGTGACACTGTCGCCACTTTCGAGGGCTGCTGGTGGGTCCTGCGGAGTGAGGCACCGCGGGGATCTGAGCGAGACCTCGCCGTCCCTGGGGGGCTGCGATCTGCGACACTGTCGCCACTTTCGAGGGCTGCTGGTGGGTCCTGCGGAGTGAGGCACCGCGGGGATCTGAGCGAGACCTCGCCGTCCCTGGGGGCTGCGATCTGCGACACTGTCGCCACTTTCGAGGGCTGCTGGTGGGTCCTGCGGAGTGAGGCACCGCGGGGATCTGAGCGAGACCTCGCCGTCCCTGGGGGGCTGCGATCTGCGACACTGTCGCCACTTTCGAGGGCTGCTGGTGGGTCCTGCGGAGTGAGGCACCGCGGGGATCTGAGCGAGACCTCGCCGTCCCTGGGGGGCTGCGATCTGCGACACTGTCGCCACTTTCGAGGGCTGATGGTGGGTCCTGCGGAGTGAGCGCCGCGGGGATCTGAGCGAGACCTCGCCGTCCCTGGGGGGCTGCGATCTGCGACACTGTCGCCACTTTCGAGGGCTGCTGGTGGGTCCTCGGAGTGAGGCACCGCGGGGATCTGAGCGAGACCTCGCCGTCCCTGGGGGGCTGCGATCTGCGACACTGTCGCCACTTTCGAGGGCTGCTGGTGGGTCCTGCGGAGTGAGGCACCGCGGGGATCTGAGCGAGACCTCGCCGTCCCTGGGGGGCTGCGATCTGCGACACTGTCGCCACTTTCGAGGGCTGCTGGTGGGTCCTGCGGAGTGAGGCACCGCGGGGATCTGAGCGAGACCTCGCCGTCCCTGGGGGCTGCGATCTGCGACACTGTCGCCACTTTCGAGGGCTGATGGTTGGTCCTGCGGAGTGAGGCACCGCGGGGATCTGAGCGAGACCTCGCCGTCCCTGGGGGGCTGCGACAGACACTGTCGCCACATTCGAGGGCAGCCGGTGGGTCCTGCGGAGTGATGCACCGCGGGGATCTGAGCGAGACCTCGCCGTCCCTGGGGGGCTGCGATCTGCGACGCAGTCGCCACTTTCGAGGGCTGCTGGTTGGTCTTTCGGAGTGAGGCACCGCGGGGATATGAGCGAGACCTCGCCGTCCCTGGGGGGCTGCGATCTGCGACACTTTCGCCACTTTCGAGGGCTGATGGTGGGTCCTGCGGAGTGAGGCACCGCGGGGATCTGAGCGAGACCTCGCCGTCCCTGGGGGCTGCGATCTGCGACACTGTCGGCACTTTCGAGGGCTGCTGGTGGGTCCTGCAGAATGAGGCACCGCGGGGATCAGAGCGAGACCTCGCCGTCCCTGGGGGGCTGCGATCTGCGACGCTGTCGCCACTTTCGAGGGCTGCTGGTGGGTCCTGCGGAGTGAGGCAGGCACCGCGAGGATCTGAGCGAGACCTCGCCGTCCCTGGGGGGCTGCGATCTGCGACACTGTCGCCACTTTCGAGGGCTGCTGGTGTGATCTGAGCGAGACCTCGCCGTCCCTGGGGGGCTGCGATCTGCGAGACTGTCGCCACTTCCAAGGGCTGCTGGTGGGTCCTGCGGAGTGAGGCACCGCGGGGATCTGAGCGAGACCTCGCTGTCCCTGGGGGGCTCTGGAGAGCTGCTGTGGGATACGTTAGGCGCAACGGGCGCATGGCACAGCCAACGGGGGTGATTTGTGAAACAGACCATCTGCTGGGCGATGGTCACAACGTTGCGCCTTCACGTATCCCGCAGGGTCTCTCAAGAGCTGCTGTGGGATATGTCGGGTGCAACGGGCGCATGGCACAGCCAACGGGGGTGATTTGTTATTACGTGGCCCTTATATCTTGATCGGGGGCCTGCGAGCCTTCCCAGTGCTGCTCGCAAGATCACATGCGTCTATGTTACGTCAGCGCCCCCGTTGTAGCAATCCTGATGTACTTATGCCCCGCATTGCGCAAGGGTTGGGTACGTCGCCAGGGCAACTTGTTGTCACAAAGGTTTTGGGGAGTGGGTTGGCCAATTATTTGCTCATCATGTGCCATCTCAGACACTTCCGAAAAGGGCAGGGGTCGGCTGTCGCTGTGGCTAGACGGTGCATCTTCCACCCCTCCCCTCCCCGCCCTTCCCCAGTTCTCCCTCCCCAGCTCTTACCCCCCTCGCTTCCCCCCCCCTCCCCGCCGCTCTTGCTGCGCCGCCGCGGCAGGGGGCCGACGACCTGCGGAGGACGAGGGAGGCGGCAGAGCAGGTGGCGCAGGACGAAAAGCACAAGCGGGACGCTATCATCGGTGGCTCGGGGGTGGTGGTGGGCGCACGGGAGGGGGGAGGGAGGAGAGAGTGAGGGAGGGAGGGCGGGAGGCAGGGAGCATGAGGAGGAGGAGGAGGAGGAGGAGGAGGAGGAGGAGGAGGAGGAGGAGGAGGAGGAGGATGAGGCGGAGGAGGCGGAGGAAGAGGAGAGGAGGAGGGAGCAGGTGGAGGAGGAGGAGCGGAGGAGGAGGAGGATGGAGCAGGAGGAGGAGGAGGAGGAGGAGGAGGAGGAGGAGGAGGGAGTAGGAGAAGGAGAGGAGGAGGAGGAGAGGAGGAGGAGGAGGACGGTGGAAGAGAGGAGGAGGATGGAGGGAGGCAGGGAGGACGCGAGGCGGAGGAGGAGGAGGAGGAGGAGAAGGAGGAGGAGGGAGGAGGGAGGAGGGAAAAGGGAGAACGGAGAAGGGAGGAGGCAGGGGGGCGGAGGAGGAGGAGCAGGAGGAGGAGGCGGAGGATGGAGGATCGTGGAGGAGGAGAGTGGAGGAGGGTGGAGGAAGGAGGAGAAAGACCCCCCCTGACCTTGATGGCAGCCTGGCCGCAGCGTTCCTGGATGAGGGCGACTGGCGCGTGGTGGTGTGCGAGGCAGGGGCAGGGGAGGGGACGGCGGAGGAGCAGGGGGATGAGGAGGTCAGTGAGAAGGAAGGGGTGGCTGGGGGAGGCGGATGAGGACGTACAGCTCTAGGGTGCAAGCTTCGTCTGACGCCAGCTGCCACAGGCTGGTCGGATGCACGGGTGTATTATTGTGGCTTTGCCCCACCCCCTGCTCCACGACGACCCGAATGAATGGGCGTCGGTCGAATCATTGGTTCATCAGTGTAGGATCGGGGCCTAAGGCAAGGTCATACCGACGATCTAGTAGTGGTAGATATTGGTAGTGGTATTGATTGTAGTAGGGGTCGTAGTAGTAGTATTAGAAGTAGTAGTAGTAGTAGTAGTAGTAGTAGTAGTAGTAGTAGTAGTAGTAGTAGTAGTAGTAGTAGTAGTAGTAGTAGTAGTAGTAGTAGTAGTAGTAGTCAGAAGTAGTAGTAGTAGTAGTAGTAGTTAGTAGTAGTAGTAGTAGTAGTAGTAGTAGTAGTAGTAGTAGTAGTAGTAGT